GAACTATGCGGGCACTCTTCATGAAAATTGGTTTCTTCCTTCAGAATCGACAGTTGGAAAAGAGCTACAAAAAACGGGCAAAACTTTTAAAACAACTCAATATTATACCGCAGTTGGATCTGTAAAACTAGGAATGCCTCATCAATCCGATTACTTTGAAGAGTACCGCGTTAATCGCTCCAGGCATTTCCCATTCCGAGCACTATTTTATGTGAAATTTGCATTTTCAAAAGCGGTATTGTGTAGAAAACCATAGAACTTCAAGATTTTTTGCTTTTCGAAATTTGCGCTTATTCAGCTGACCAGTTGGTTTTTTGCAGTAGCCAATGAATGTTGTTCTTTCAGTCAACTTTTATGGGACAAGACACCTCGGAAGGAAGAAGTTTACCTTTCGGAGTAGAATATGCCCGTTCGTCGAGGTCGACTTGTAAGGGTTGCAAGCACCCTATACAGCAAGTATGCAGATAGTCAAATTTTTTTCAGAGAGAGTGATGTCCAGAAAATCTTTTCAGGATACGCTGAGGATGTCCGTTCGTGAGCCAAGCAGATTTTTCGATGGTTTGCAAGACAACTGGTATGGAATCACCGCAATTCTGACTTTGCTTAAGCAGATTTTTAAGGTTTCACTTTGCTTGCTTTTGGAAGAGGGTCGCGTCAGGAAAAGTGAGTATAAATGAAAAGTCAATAAGAGGCGTTGATTCCATAAAATGGGATGACCAGGTTATCAACAATCAACATTTCTGAACGGATAATTGAATTGTTATCATATTTTCCTCTAGTTTAGGAAAAGATTCGCGAAAAAATAGCTGAGATGGCGAATATCGAAGCCAACATCAATTCGTTCTCTGCAATAACGGTAGAGTATGCAAAATCGAGTAGGTAAAAGAATTTACAAATGGAATTTGGCACACGAATAAATAAATCTTTTAGGGGCAAATGCACGAAGTGCAAAGTCAAAATAGAAAAGAAAGAAATAAGGTTTTCCAATTCAAACACTTGGTATCATCAAGCTTGCTTCTTTGGTGAACAGAAGTATGAGGTAAGAATCATAGACTATCACCTCAAATTACTAATCTACATATTAAGGGAAAAGTGACTGACATCAATGGTTTCTCAAATCTTAGCTCTGAAGATCAGGTCACTTTAGAGAAAGCTCTAGATGAATTTCGAAAAATAGAAGAGTAAGTATGCGTAAGTAAGAGTGTAAATTGGACTGAGTTATTGTTGAGGACCGTCGTGGAAACCCAAAACGACAAGAAGGAAAAATCAAGGTAATTTTTACTTCTTCCTAGCTTCACGAAACCTCAGTAAGAGGTAGATAAGCGTTCTAAAACAAATTGCTACTGAATTGCTGCTAATTTGCTGATCTTAGTGTGCAAATTTTTGTAGACTTAAGGGTTTTTTGAAGCTATAGTCAGGAGCAAGGTCGGACCGAGGGAAAGTGAAGGGCGAATCATCTGGGAAGCATAGTTGCCCAATCTAAAAGAAAAAGTTGAAAGCATTCCGTCACCCCCCTTCAACTGATTTTTTGTCTTCTGTCACTATCCTCCTGTCTCCATTCTTCCCGCGTCTGAAAAAGATACTTGAGCGGCTTTGTTCACATATAAAAGACAATCACACAAGATTAAATATTATAAACACAAAGTCATTTGTTTTCCGACCCTTTTTCTCTTGTCCGTAAATTACTGCTTGAATTTGCTCAAGAACACCAGCTATTCATAAGATGTAGTGTACATTCACTGAAATCTATATTTTTGTGAAAAATAGAGAGTTCTAATGATGACATTTCTTGCCTGAAACGATTTTTTGCGCCGACACACTTGTGAGTGCTCAATGAGGCACCTATCACTGATACAAAAGTCCTGGAGAGCGCTTGTAGCCCTTGGGTTGCAAATTTTCAAGCATGGGCTTGACTAGCGAGTATGGACTGTCCATCCAGA